ATGATATATATAAATATATATATATATATATATATATATATATATAAATGAAATTATTATATAGTGACGCGGTTTTCCACGTTTTAGCGAATCTTTACGTCCCCGATGCTCATGGGAAGTATTTTTGTACGTTTACTCTGTACCTACCGTTTCGCTCTAAAACTATATCTACTGTTATCATTGTGATACTCGCTGCTGCGATCGTCTTTTGAATCGTTAATGTAATAATATTATATAATGTGTAATAAGCGGGCGTGCGTTTGGTTATTGATACGCTCACAAGGATCAGCGATGGAAGAAGTCCCTTTGAATTTGAACGATATTTTCAAATGCAGAGTATTGATTGACTATAGACTGCGCGATCGATTGTTATTATTATCGAATTATTTGATTATTTTCACCATCGAAGACTACTGTTTTACTGATAATGCTCCGTACAAATCCATTTTATGACAACGTCGTCGACGTTATACACTCCGTTTTCTTAACTCTAAACATGGCAGAACGAAATCGTTTCCTCGCGAGTCACGCACGACTCGTAGACTGTCTCGTTCTTTTCCTCTTCGTCTATTAATTCCATGTATTCGCAGTTATATGTGATTTACATTCCTTAGCATTTACACGGAAACCCGTGGCTGCTATTTTTTTTTTTTTTTAATCAGTATATTGACTCGCCGTTGAATAATTAATCGCATAAACAAATAATACCTATTTATTATAAATGTACATAAAACTGTTATTGTAATAAAGAAGAATGTGAGGGAAATATACGATTAACGACTCCATTTTATCTTTGCATATTTTTAAAACATTTATTGAATTGACAAGAGCTAAAATAGGAATAATGAATAATTTATTATTTGTTATACATTTGCATAATCCGGAATTTTGAGATTAGATTTAATTATGTAACACGAGGTTTGCAGTTGCAGACGAGAAAATCCACGTAGACACTTATTTGCAAAGGTTAAGTGTGATAGAAATGGCGAGGTGATTTTGCGCTGACGACAGCATGCGTTTTATTACGCGAAGAGCCAGATGAGATGAATTATCTCTCGCCTCCCGCATTTCCTGCCTTCTCCCGGTATCCATTTTCACGCAGTTCATCTTTAGACCGAGGATATCGACCGAGGAGATCTCTCTGGTCCGCATTCTTCAACAACTCGGAACATAATATGTCACGCATAATTCATTACAAAATTGTTTCTTACAACGTTCTTCTGTATTAAGGAAAATCCCTTTTTAATTTTTTTTTAATTGATCCTAATCTGCGATA